CCAAGCATAACAACCATCGTGAGAATGGCGCAAGACCAGGCAGTGTTTCGTTCTATTGTATGTCGTGTCACTATGAGTCGGGACTGACTTGATGGCACCTAGCCACAGTAATAACATGAGGCAATTAAAAATACTATGGTTTGGGTCAGGTGCACCGTAGCATGAAGTAACATCTTTGCTCTTTGACACCTTAAAGAGGTCTTGTCCAGTAGATTTGTCCAATGCAATTATGTGGCTTACTTTCTTCACTGCTGCTTCCATGAGCATTGATTGTGGATCCAAGCAGAATGAAGTCTTTGATAGCTTCAATCTTTTCTCCATTTATCCTGATGTTAGGAGCTCTGGTAGTAGTATAGTGGTTGTGAGTCAGGTTGCTAACCTCAAAGTCAGCAGTTCAAAATGACCAGCGGTTCTGTGGCAGAATGATGAGGCTTTCTGCTTCCGAAAGGATTTCCAGCTTCAGAAACCCCATGCAGGGTCGCTATGAGTCGGCACTGATTCGACAGCACATCACCACCACCATCGTGATGTTCTTTATTGGTCCAGTTGTGAAGATTTTTGTTTTCTTTACATTCAGGTGCAACCCGTACTGTAAATACAGTCTTTGACTTTTATCAGTATTATCTAGTCCTCTTCTCTTCCAGCAAGCAGGGTCGTGTCATCTGCATATCTTAAATTGCTAATGAGTCTTCCTCCAGTCCTGATGTCACATTCTTCTTCATATAATCCAGTTTCTCAGAGTATCTGTTCACCATAAAGACTGAATAAGTGTGGCAAAAGGATCCAGCCCTGATGAAAACCTTCCCTGATTTTAAGCCTTTCAGTATCCCCTTATTCTGCCTCTTGGTCTATATATAGGTTCCTCATGAGCACAATTCAGTGTTCTAGAATACCCATTCTTTACAATATCCTTCATAGTTTGTTATGATCCACATAGTCGAATGTCTTCGCATAGTCAGTAAAGTACAAGTAAATATCTTTCTAGTACTCAATTTTCAGTCAATATCCATCTGACTTCAGCAATATCCCTAGTTTCACGTCCTCTTCTGAATCTGGCTTGAGTTTTCTGGCAGCTCTCTTGATGTTTCGCTGCAACCATTTTTAAATTATCTTCAGAAAAATTTTACTTGCATGGGATATTAATGATATTGTTGGATGATTTCTGCATCCCATTGGGTCATCTTTCTTTGGAATGGGCACAATTATGGATCTCTTCCTATCAGTTCTAAATGTCTTGGCACAGATAAGGACTGCCAGTGATGCATCTGTTGGTATTTTGTCAATTCCTGGGGCCTGGTTTTTCGTCAATGCTTTCAGTGCAGCTTGGACTTTTTCCTTCAATATCATCAGCTCTTGATAATATACTACCTCTTGAAATGACTGAACATCCACCAATCATTTTTGGTTAGTGACTCTGTGTATTCCTTCTATCTTGTTTTGATGTTTCCTGCGTCATTCACTATTTTGGCGATTTGTTACGCGCTGTGAGTCATTTCTGACTCATGGTGTCCCTGTATAGGGTTTCCAAGGAGCAGCTGGTGAGTTTAACTGAGATTTAGTGGTTTAAACCAACTGGGCTGTCCAGTGATTTACCCCACAAGCGTCACACCAGGACTCTCACAGAATCTTTCAATACTGTAGCTGCAGGCTTGAATTTTTTCTTTAGTTCTTTCAACTTAAATTCAGAGCATGTTCTTCCCTTTTGGTTTTCTAACTCCAGGTCTTTGAGCATTTCATTATAATACTTGACTTTATCTTCTTGAGCTGCCCTTTGAAAGTTTCTGTTCAGCTCTTTTACTTCATTTCTTCTAGTCACTTGAGCATCTGTATGTTCAAGAGCAAGTTTGGAAGAAGTACAGCCAGCTGCTCTTTAGAGGTAAGGACGGTGAGACTTTGTCTCTCGTTCTTTGCATATGTTGTCATGAAGAACCAATCCTTGGACAAAGACATCATGCTTGGAGGGTCAGCAAAATGAGGAAGATACCCAAAGAGATGGATTGACAATGGGCTTAAACATTACAGTAACTGTGAGGTTGGCATGGGACCAGGAAGTGTTTCATTTTGTTGTGCATAAGGTCACTATGAGTTGGAACTGGCTCAATTGGCACTTAGTCACAACAAATATCCATTGCTGACTGAATTCTAACTCATGGCAACCCCCTGTGTGGCAGAGGCAAACTGCTCCATGGGGATTTCTTAGTTTAAATCTTTACAGAAGCAAATTCCCAGGTCTTTCTACCAACAAGTCTCTGGGTGGGTTGAGCTGTCAACCTAGGTTCTGAGATACGTGCAAACCATTTATGCCACCCAGAGACCTAAACCATTTCATATTAACATCTAAAATAATTCATAAGAATTTTGGGTTTTTAGGATTAGATGATTCTGATGATGGCACCTGCCCTGAACCTAGCCCAGTTCTCAGCAGAAGTGGGTTCAAGTTTTTACTTGGGGTTTTAGGGGAGCAGGTCTCTCCATGTGCTGAAGAAAGAAGAGTGATGAGAGGTGTTTGGAATCAATTAGTCCAATTGACTTATGGACCATGTGGGCGTCAGTCCTATGGCTTTGAGACCAGAAGAGCTAGACGGTACCTGGCTACCAGCTAGTTATGAAAGTAGATCGCCTGCAGAGATGCTAGGTGGCCTTGAACATTACAGACAAAAATCATCAACTATCAACTACTATCAACTGCTCTGAAAGGGATCACATTACAAGGTCCCAATGGCAAGCCATACTACATCCAAATTCGAGTGATGAAGAAGAAAGTTTACAATAGTGGTCTCATGCAGTATTTGTCCTTTTGTGATTGACTAATTTCACTCAGCATAATCTCCTCCAGGTTCATCCATGTTATGAGGTGTTTCTCAGATTCATCATTATTCTTCACATTGCATAGTATCCCACAGCATGTAGGTACCAAAGTTCGTTTATCCATCTTCCATTGATGGGCATTTCAACTGACGCCATCTTGTTGCTATGGTGAACAGTGCTTCAGTGAACTCATGTCATGGCCCTTATTTCTTAGGGATCTATACCAAGTAGAGGGAATGCTGGGTCATGCGGTATTACTTCTGTTTTATTATTTCCAGCTTTTTGAGGAAGCATCAGGCTGTTTTCCACACTGGTTGCACCATTTACAGTCCCAATACATGTATAGCAATGGAAGAGGATCCCCAGTCTCTCCACACCCTCACCAGAATTTGTTGTTTTCTTTTTGAACTTTACGATTAAAGCTGGAGTGAGATGATATCAAGTGTGGGAACAATAGTGAGGTAGGCCCAGGATCAGGCACTGTTTTGTTCTGCTGTGCATAGGGTCGTTATGGGTTGGTACTGAATCGATGGCATCTAACAACAACAACAATGGCAAAGGTGTTTTCACGTATGGTATTTTCAATGACCTCATATGCACACGAAAGCTGGCAGTGATTAAGGAAGACCATAGAAGAATTGATGCTTTTGAGTTATGGTGTTGGAGGAGAATTTTGAAAGTGCCATGGGCTACCAAAAGAACCAACAGATCTGTGTTGGAAGATGTGCAGCCAGAGTGCTCCTTGGAGGCCAAGATGGCCAAACCTCGTCTCTCATACTTTGAATGTATTGTCAGGAGGGACCAGTGGCTGGAGAAGGATATCATGTTTGGTAAGGCGGAGGGTCAGAGAAAAAGAGGAAGACCCCTAGTGAGATGGATTGGCAAAGTGGCCGCATCAATGGGCTCAAGTGACAACAATTGAGAGGTTGGCCCAGGATTGGGTAGTGTTTCGTTGTGTTGTGCACAGAGTTGCTATGAGTTGGTACTGACTCAATGTCACCTAATGAGAACAATGGCAAAGGATCGCAGGTGTTCATCATATCTAACAATTAGTATACTGTTATACGGACACCTCTTTTCCAAAATCAATCCCGTGCAGAAGACTTGAAGAAGAGAAAGAACATTTACCAACCTGTAGGAATGACGTTCAAGGTTTTAACAGCCTTACTGGCATTTTTCAGCTGAATACCAGCTTTGTCTATAATGTTGTTGTTAAGTGCTGTCAAGTCAGTTTCAACTCATAGTTACCCTACATAGGATTTCCAAGAAGCATCTGGTAAGTTTGAACCACCTACCCTGATATTCCTTGGCAACCCTATACAGGGTCGCTATGGGTTGGAATCGACTCGATGGCCACTTCACAACAGCAACAACCCTGATGTTCAAACCAACCTTATAGTCCTGTGCTTATCCTACATTGCCACACCAGGACTCCTTGTCTACAACTCCATCCTTTTTTCCTTCTTCTGAAAAATGCAGAGGGCTGAACCACAAAGATGATGGACACTGCTCAATAACATTTTGACTGGCAAAGAATTCATCATCAGAGCCCAAAAGGGATGAAAGAAAAGAACCATCCGTTATATTCTTTATTCCTTCATATTGTTAAAGCCAGGCTAAAACCATGGAAAATTACACTTCAAATCCAGTTGCAGAAATGACAGTAACCAGTTTTTAAATGTAAACTTAACTTTCATTATGAAAAAGGCTCTTCATTAGCCCACATCATGGTGGCCGCAAGTTAAATGTAAGTCTGCAATCCTTTCATAATCAAAAGATCAAAAGAATCCAACCTCCTAGAGTACACAGTGATGTTCTAAAGGACACAGTGACATTCTAAGAGCACCCTCATACCTGGATATATCCCCAAACCACGCTGCATGTAGAAATGGAGGGGCCTTAGGGGATTTTGGCATCTGATCCTTCAGTACAGAAGCAATGGGAGTAATCAGTAAGAGCTCTGGGAAAAACTGAAATGAAATTTTTAAAAAGCTAAGAATAACTCACTTTTTTTTTTTTTAAAGACACTATTCAGAAAATCACAAAAGATATTGATTGAGTGAATGAAGGCAGGTGGAATGTTCTTCTGCAGGTATTTGGCAGGGTAAGAAAACAAGCTGGGATCCTCCATAAGGTAAGACAAACACACTAGACATGATCAGAGAGAGTTAGGGTCAGATGGCGGCGCTGGGCTACTTGCGACCCTGTGGGATTGGAGGGAGGATGGGTTTGGTGTTGGAACCAGGACGACAGATGCTGGGCACCGCAGGCTTTTCACTCTGGGAAGAGTTTCTCTGCCGTAAAGCCGCATACTTGAGCAGTGCTGTAAAACATTAAGGGTTACAGTTCATAGAGTTAACTCTTACCTTCACTTGTTGAAGGAAACAAACATTGCATGAGGTAAGCACCAGAAGCTTTCATTCCTAACAGACTATTTGCCATGAATAGTTCCGAAATAAAAACAACGGGGGTGCTCAGGGTCAGAATCTATCATCTGCATGGCTGCACAAGGCTTGGGTTACTTAGACATGGGTTGTTTGACCCCAGAGCCACACTAGAACTCCAGAGGGAGGCTATAGCAATCTCTCCTTGCCCCCCTATTTGTTCACAATCACCCATGTGCAGACCCACGTATGCACAGGTACACACATCCTGGAGACCCAGGCATGCACATATGTGCACTTGCACACACACACACACACACACACATCTGGAGACCCTGTTGGAGAAACATCATCTAACAATGCCTCCAGCTATATAAGTACAAGGTTGGTCTGTTGTCCAGGGTGCTGGCATCAGGAGCTGGGGATCTTCTGGGCCTGTGGAAAGCAAGAGTCCTGTGGAAGACAGAGATGAGGGTGGGGGCACAGTGTCCATAAATAAAGCAGAATTGTTGTTGTTGTTGTTGTTAAGTGCCATCGAGTTGTTTCCGACTCATAGCGACCCAGTATAGGAGCGGTTAGTTAAGTCTGAACCGCCTACCTTGTGGTTCAAACCGACCTTGCAGACCAGTGCTGTACTCCACAGCGCCATGCCAGAAATCCTATCTCACAGCAGGGCAGCCAGGCAGAAAAAGTGGACAGAAGGTTCCACAGGGAGTGGGAACAAAGAAGTGACCTTTTCACGTAGAATCACGTAGAATAAAAGAGATGGAATGTACTGGGCCCGCTAAAGCAACCCAACATGCTACC